TCCCAGCTGCTTCCTGTGCTTATACAAAGAGGGCTCTGTCCCCAAGCCACCCTGGCCTAGGCTGGCCCAGTGCACTCCACACACCACAGGCTGCAGGCATCTCCCCATCCCTCCTCCCACCTCCTTGTCCCCAGCCCTGACCCTGTGCTCCTGGGCACACCCTGCCCACCCCTGTCTCCATGCCTTCCTCGAGCCCGTGCTAATGGACATCTGGGGTCTGCTGGCCCGGGAGCACACAGTCAAGTCCCGTCTATGACAGGTTTCCCTGACTGCTCAGAAAGATAGAGGGTGGGGCTGGAATGACTCACAGTGACCTTAACGGGATGACAGCGGCAGCAGTAGAGGTGGGGAAAGCTCTGGGGAACATTAATAGTGTGACAATGTGACAGCAACAGGTGACAATGTCACAGGAACTGGGAATGATGAGGAGGCATTTTGACAGCAACAGGTGACACTGTAATTTTAAAACCCCCTAGGGGCTGGGCAGGGTGGTTCATGCCTGTAATCCCAGCACTTTGAGAGGCCGAGGTGGGCAAATCACGAGATCAGGAATTCAAGACCAAACCGATCAACATGGTGAAATTCCATCTCTACTAAAAATATATATATGTTTATAAAAATGGCCAGGCGTGGTGGTGTGCCCATGCCTGTAATCCAGCTACTTAGGAGGCTGAGGCAGGAGAATTGCTTGAACCCAGGAGGTGGAGGTTGTAGTAGCTGAGATCCCGCCACTGCACTCCAGCCTGGGTGACAGAGCAAGACTCCATCTCAGGGGAAAAAACAAAACAAAACACCACCCACTAGGGGCCGGGTGCAGTGGCTCACGCCTGTAATCCCAGCACTTTGGTAGACCACGGCAGGTAGATCACTTGAGGTCAGGAGTTTGAGGCCAGCCTGACCAACATGGTGAAACCCTGTCTCTACTAAAAATACAAAATTAGCCAGGCGTGGTGGTGCTTACCTATAATCCCAGCTACTCGGGAAGCTGAGGCAGGAGAATCACTTGAACTGGGAAGCAGAGGTTGCAGTGAGCTGAGATGGCACCACTGTACTCCAGCCTGGGCTACAGAGTGAGACTCCTTCTCAAAAAAAAAAAAAAAAAAAAAGAACTTTAAAACACCAGATCCCCATTGGAGTGCATGGACCTCATTTTGCTGAGGGTGGGCAGCACTGCTGCCAGCATCTCAGATCCTTGAGCAGCATCAGGGCTTGTGCTAGGTGGTAATCCATGGTGTCTTCCTGGGGCCCAATCTGCATGTGACGTGGGTCAACATGGCTGGCTCTGGCATCACTGAGCTTGGTCACTCTTTCTGCTGAGCCTGGCTGGTGCTGATGCCAGTTGATTGTGATGTTAAGGACCTGACACTCTGGGTGATGGTACTACCATATGCAGGGGACTGTGTCACGGCAGAAAGATGAAGGTGTAAAGGTGACAAGAGGCATGCATGTCCCAGGTAGTGGAGCAACCAGAAAAGAGCAGGGTGTCACATGGACAGGTGACAATGAGACAGGGTCACAGTGACAAGTGACTGTGCAATAGGAACTTGGTGATGACAATGACGATGATGATGATGTGTGTTTAGAGTCAAGGTCGTCTGTCATCCAGGCTGGAGTCTAGCGGCAACATCGTAGCTCACTGCAGCCTCAAACTCCTGGGTTCAAGCACTCCTCCCACCTCAGCCTCCTGAGTAGCTGGGACTACAGGTGCATGTCACCATGCCCAGCTAATTTTTCTGTAGAGATAGGGTCTTGCTATGTTGCCCAGGCTTGCCTTGCACTTTTAGCCTCAAAGGATTCTCCACTTCAGCCTCTCAAAGTGCTGACATTACAGATGTGAGCCACTGTGCCCGGCTGATTATGCAGTTTTGATGGGGAGACTATGTGAGTGCTTTGTACAGTCCTGGTGGGGGACTGTGATACGAAGGAAGACTGAGAGCCTAAATGTCCCTTTTTTTTTTTGAGAAGGAGCCTCGCTCTGTCACCCAGGCTGGAGTGCAGTGGCACAATCTCGGCTCACTACAACTTCTGCCTCCCGGGTTCAAGTGATTCTCCTGCCTCAGCCTCCCAAGTAGCTGGGACGACAGGTACGTGTCACCACACCTGGCTAATTTTTTTGTATTTTTTAGTAGAGACGGGGTTTCACTCTCTTAGCCAGGATGATCTTGATTTTCTAATCTTGTGTTCAGCCCGCCTTGGCTTCCCAAAATGTTGAGATTACAGGTGTGAGCCACCACGCCCAGCCCTTCTTTTTTTTTTTTTTTTTTTTTTTTTTTAGACGGAGGTTTGCTCTTGTTGCCTGGGCTGGAGTGCAACGGCAAGATCTCGGCTCACAGCAACTTCCGCCTCCTGGGTTCAAGTAATTCTCCTGCCTCAGCCTCCAGACTAGCTGGAATCACAGGCATGCACTACCATGCCTGGCTAATTTTGTATTTTTAGTAGAGATGGGGTTTCTCCATGTTGGTCAGGCTGGTCTCGAACTCCCGACCTCAGGTGATCTGCCTGTCTCAGCCTCCCAAAGTGCTAGAATGACAGGTGTGAGCCACTGCACCCAGCCTAAGTGTCCCTTCCTAAAGTGTGATGTAATGAGGATACAGTGGGGGGTGACAGTATCTGTGACGCCACGTCAATAACTGGCAGTAACAACAGACCAGGCGGCAGCATGGGAAGTTGAAGCCACAGCACACGGTGTGGACAGCAGCTTGGGTCGGGGGCTGTGAAGAACAGTGCTTGCTCCCTGCTGTCACTGAGAACTTCTGGGTGCAGGGACTTCCCACAGCTCCACATCTTGGTCTGGACACACCCTCTGGCTTCCTTCTTCCCTCTTCTGGAGAGCAGGTAGGGAGACTTCTAGGATGGAGTCACTGCCTGTCCCACAGCTCTTCCAGGAAAGCCTTGCTCCAGACTTGGCCATGGCAACACCAGCCGTGCAGTGTCCCTGGGGATGGAACAATCTTTCGCCACCTTTTGTACCTATGCTGGGTTGCTTCTAGGGAACTGGGTGCTTGTCCCCATGCCCAGGTAAGATACATTTGTTGCAGAACAAATCTGGGTGGACTTTGGCGGGGGAGTCTGGAAGGAGGTGTCCAAGGTGGCCAGGGAAACTGGCCTGTCCACAACAGCCCCTGGGCCCACCCCCCAACAGAAACCCCACCCCTCTGTCTCTGCTGGGCCACCTCGACCCTGGGGTTCCCTCCCCAGTTCACCCTCCCCATACCCGCTACCCCACCTGACCCTTCTCACAGGGTCCAGGGTCCCCTTCCTTGGCCAGGATGACTGACTCTTGTCCCTGAAATTGGCCTCTGTCCGATGTGCTCCCCCAGCCCAGCCCTGGGACCCTCGATGCTCCCTGGACACAGGCTGAGACCTGGAAGTGCAGCTGTGGGAGAGCCTTCCCTTCCTGTGAGTCTGCTGTGCCTCCCCTCAGAGGCGGGGGTTGGGGAGACCCTAGGTGTTTCTAGCCTCTTCTTTTTTTTTTTCCTTATTTATTTATTTTTAAGATGGGGTTTCACCATGTTAGTCAGGCTGGTCTTGAACGCCGGACCTCAGGTGATCCACCTGCCTTGGCCTCCAAAGTGCTGGATTATAGGCATGAGCTACCACGCCCATCCTCTAGCTTATTCTTATGTTTACCACCTTCCTCTTGTTCCCTCCCCTTCTCCTCTCCCTTAAAGTTCCAACCTCACTCCATCCAGGCATGTTTATTCTAAGTTCTCTCCTCTCCAGGCCTTTGCCTGTTCTGTTTCCTCCAGCAAACTCCTATGCAACTGTCAAAGCCCAGTTCAAAAATCCTCTCCCTACACCCAAATTGTGAGTTTACCCTACTGAACTCCCAAAGCTGACTGTGCTGAATATACTCCCACCACAGCACTTTTGGAATGGAGATAGGGTTTCCATTTTTTGGAGAGAGGGTATTGCTCTGTTGCCCAGGCTGGAGTGCAGTGGCCGGATCATAGTTCACGGCAGCCTCAACCTCCTAGGCTGAAGCAATCCTCCTGCCTTAGCATCCTGAGTAGCTGGGACTACAGGTGCATGTCACCATGCCTGGCTAATTCTTTTTGTTATTATTATTTGTAGAGATGGGATCTCAATATGTTACCCACGCTAGTCTTGAAATCCTGGTCTCAAGCCTGTTGGGCTTATTTATTACATTCTGGAAGTGCCATGGTGGGGGGATATTCAGCACAATCTTTTGAACTTTGGGAATTCAATAGAGTAAGTTCACAATTCGCAGGTAGGGAGGGAATTTTTGAACTGGGCTTTGACAGATGCGTAGGAGTTTGCTGGATAGAGTAACAGCTTCAGGCTCAACACACGGCTTCTGACAGATCCCCATGTTAAGGGTCTATTCTCAAAGGTGGGAAGGTGGTGGAAAAGCCTAGAAATTTTTGTTTGGAGTACAGACAACAGATAGGGAGCTGAAATTCTTGTCTGGGCCTTTTGGTAGGTGGAGAAACAGGTTCAAAGAGATTTGAAAGCTTACACAGTTTGAACTGTTAACCTCTTCATTTTGAGAACCAGATGAAAAACGTGGGCCCTTCTCCCTGGGAAACATATCTTTGTTCATTGTTTTGCCAACATATTTAGGGGCCCCTGATATCAGCCTAGTTAAGAATCCAGGCTCCAAGGGCCAGGTGAGTTTCCAACGTCGGTCACCCTCAGAATTCTCCTTGCCCGAGGGACGAGGCTGCAGCTTGGGAGGCCGTGGGAGGGCCGCCCAGGTGAGTCCCGGGACCTCTCTGCCCAGACTGTCGTCGAGGCCCGGCCCCCCCCAAAATCTCGATCCGGAAACGAGGCCCCCGTAGCCCCTACAAGGTGCCCCTAGCCCTGAGCCCCCAGCCCGCCCTCCCATCCCTCCAGCCCCTCGGAGTTTTCACCAGGAGCCCCAGGCCCTCCCCCCAGCCGCAGCCTCTCTCCCCGCCCTGGATCGGAGCCCCCCGTTCCCGCCCTGGGAGCTACGAGGTGCAAACGCGCCCTCCTCCAACTCCTCCCGCCCCAACTCCCCCCGAGTGGCAGCTCTGGGCTGGGAACGCGGCGGGGTCGGCCTCTCGGCTTCGCGTTCCCGTCCCGGGTCCCGGGCGCCACAGGAGCCGGCCCTGCAGCGCAAAGCCGCGCGCGTCCACCCGCCCCACGCTCGCAGCCTCGCAGGTAGGTGAAGGCGCGGGGCCCACGGTGGGGCGAGATCGGGGGCGTTGAAGGGTGGGGAAGGCGAGGGCTGGGGCGGGGGCCGGCAGGAAGAGGGGGAGGGGATTCCTTTGTTCGCAGCCGGGCAGCCCCGGGCCCAGCCCCCTCCCCTCTCCGCCTTCTAGTGGCGCCCGCCGCAGTGGGACGCGGGGGCGCGGGGACCCGGCGGGAGGGGCTCGGCCAGGCGCGGGGCCCCTGACCCACAGGTGAGGGCGGAGCCTAGCGTGGACGCGGCCGGGGGTTCTGCCGGGTGGAGATCGCTGCCGGCGGGCTCCAGGGGCGCCCCCTTTCCGTCGGTGGAGCTCGGGACCCCTCGCTCCTCGGCCGTCAGCCTCCCCACCCCTTGCCCGGCGCGCCTTCTCTGCTCATTCATTCCACAAACTCCAGGGTGTGGCTGGAGTGTAAGGGGGACCGAGGAGTGTAAGGGGGGCCGAGGCAAATCAGGCCAGAGACTTCCCCCACCCAACTCCCCCACCCCACCCGAGGCAAGGGGCAGGGGTGGGGGATGGGGGAGGAAGGAGGAGGGCTTGCAGGCCCCCAGGCTGCCTGGAGGAGTCCACAGAACCTCAGTGCCGACTGACCTGGACAACTCAGAAGCGAAAGAGGATGCCGCTCCCCAGCCAACCAACTCTCTTTGGGACCCCTCTTTGGCTGAGAGAGGGGCATGGCCAAGGCCACACAGCGGGGCTCCTTGCCTGTTCTCCCCCTAGGTCCAATTTCTCTCCTCCTTGGGACCTGAATGGAACGGGAAGGCCACTTGGTGTGGCATCTATCCCTCAAGTATTTTGCCGCCAGCCTCTAAAAGGTTGGCTGGTTGTCTCCTGTCCCCCTCTCCTCCCTCCCATCCTTCATGGCCCAGGCAGGATCCAGCCAGGGGGAGCAGAAGCAAGTTCCGTTCCTGATCTTCTCCCCGTCCTTCTCTGCATGGGCCTAAGTTCCAGCTTAGCCCCTCACTCATGATGTGATGGCCTTAGTTTGCTCATCTGTGAAATGGGCACAGAAGCGATCCCTTCCCTGCTGAGCACAGGGTTATGCTCTGCATTGGGAAGTTCCGGACCCTGCCTGGGCCCGCTGCCTGCAATGAGGGACAGTGGGGTGGTTGCCTGAGAAAGCCCTGAGGCCTGTGTGAGCTCAGAGAGGCATCCAGCCCTGACCTGGGAGCAGTGGACAGTCAGAGGAGGCTTCCTGGAGGAGGTGTGCTATTAGAGAAGGGTCTTGGGGCTGAAGGTGAACAGCCACGGCAAGATGGGTGTGGGACGTGGAGGGGAGGGGACACAGGGCCAGGTGGGGTCAAGTGTGGCAAGAATGGGAGTATCTGTGTCACAGAGGGACAGTGGGGTGATTGCCTCCCATGGACTTGCCACCTTCCTCCCACCCTGGACTCTCTCCCGGCTCCACCTTCCCAGCCAGAACTTTGGGAATCTTCCATTCCTCTCCTCTCTCTCCCATCTGGACAGCCCCCAGCCTCCTGACACCCCTGTTACCCCGGGGGGCCCTGCCGCCCTTCCCCACTCCATCTAGCATGCATTTCTGACCCTGCTTCTCCCACGGTAAGCTTTTCAAGGGCCCTTCATTGCCCTTGGCGAACAAGCAAATGCTCTAGGACACTATAGCACCATAAAAGCTATGCCCACTCCTGCAACGCCTGGCCCCACCTGGCCCTATGTCCCCTCCCCTCCATGTCCCATGCCCGTCTTGTCTCGGCTGTGCAGCCTCAGCCCCAAGACACTTCTCTAACATCACACCTCCTCTGACTGTTCACTGCTCCCTGGTCAGGGCTGAATGCCTCCCTGGGCTCCCACAGGCCCCGGGGCTGCCCCATTTGGCAACCACCCTAGCCTCCTAGTTGTGTGGGGTGCCCCATGGCCAGGGTTGAGGGTTCTTCTGGGGCTGACTCTGCTTCCTCTCCGCAGCCTCCAGGGGACACGTCATGACTCTGGAGGGTCTGTGTTTGGCAAGGGGCCCACTGGCCCGGCTCCTGCTGGCCTGCTCAGCCCTGTCATGCATGGCAGGTGGCCAAGGCCGCTGGGATGGGGCCTCAGAGGCTTCAGGTCCTGGACGTGTGCGGAGGCGGGGCAGCCCGGGCATCTTGCAGGGGTGCGTGGTACCTGGGATGCTGGGAGAACCCTTTGGTGTGGATTGGGCCGTCCTGGGGCCAGGGGAGTGCTGGTGGGGGGGCTGTCAACCCGGCCAGGGGCTCACCAGACACATCTCGCTGTCCCCAAAGGCCGAATGTGTGTGGCTCCCGTTTCCACGCCTACTGCTGTCCCGGCTGGAGGACATTCCCTGGCAGGAGCCAGTGTGTCGTGCGTGAGTGCTGCTGCCTTCTGGAGGTGGGGGCGGGGCACAGGCCAGCCACAGTCTTACCTGCCTGCAGGTCCAGCTCTGTTTACAAGGGGACTCTGCCAGGGGCCACTGGCTGAACCACAGGAACGATGGTTGTGTCTGTCCTCAGGCTTCCAAGCCAAAGTGCCATGTTCATTTCCTTTGCCCTAAAACCTCCTCGTTTCTGTCTTGCTGTTTGCCTGCCTGGTTCCCTCCCTTTGCTTCTGTCTCGCTGTTTGTCTCTCTGGTTCCCTTGCTTTGTCTCTGCCTCTCTCTGTTCATCTCTGCTCATGTCTCCCTCTGTTGGTTTCTTTTCTTTATTATTATTTTTTTTTAGAGATGGGGGTCTCTGTGTTCTTCAGGCTGATCTCGAACTCCGGTCTCCAGTGATCCTCCCATCTCAGCCTCCCAAAGTGCTAGGATTCCAGGTGTAAACCACCACACCTGGCCTCTCTCTGTTGGTTACTGTCTATCTATCTGATTCTCTCTCTCTCTCTGAGTCTCTTTCTCTCTGTCTCTCTCTGGCCTCACCCTCTGTCTCTGTCTCTGTCTGTGTCTCCAGAATCTGACTCCACTTCCCAGGAGACACCCCATCACAGTATCCAGGACCCCAGCATCTCCAGCTCTGTCCTCACAGCTCAGCAGTTCTGGCCCAAAGAGCGTTCTGTCCCGATGGCTCTAACACAACCCTCAACCCACAGCCTGGGTCACACCACCTGCTCAGCTCAGCCCTGGAGTGGGGGGACGTCCATGAAAACGGGGGTGGGGTGTGCTATGAGCAGAGCCGGGGAGGCAGATGACTAGCAGAGTCCAGCCAGGTGTTCCGGCCAGTCTGGACACCGATGAAACAGGGACGGCCCAGGCTCGGTCCTGGTCTTGACTACCACCTGCTGCACCCACCCAGCCATCTGTAGGCACACCTGCCATGAGGGATTCTGCTCCCAGCCCAACCTGTGCACCTGTGCGGATGGGACGCTGGCTCCCAGCTGCGGGGTGAGCCTAGGTGAGCAAGGAGTGGCCTCTTGGGGGAGGGAGAAGAAGATCACAGAGTTCCGGGCTGCTTTTGTTGAAAGACAGCAGTGGGGCTGAGCTCACCTGGTCCCGCAGCTTTCCCAGAAGGGCATTGCGGGCCGTCTCCAGCTTACTCTGTGTTCCACCTTCCTGTTCCCAGGGTTAGGGTGCAGTGTGAGCTGTATGAATGGGGGCACCTGCCGTGGGGCATCCTGTCTGTGTCAGAGGGGCTACACGGGCACCGTGTGTGGTCAGCGTGAGTATCCCTGTGGGACTCCCTGCCCCTATGCACACCCAGAACTGTGATCCCAGAGCATTGGTCTCTGCTACTACCTGCCTACTGCCCAGGGGTCTTTCTTCCTGGACTGGAGATTGCAGGGGACATGCTTATTGTCACAGTCTTCACAGTCTTTTTCTTTCTTTCTTTTTTTTTTTTTTTTTTTTTTTGAGACAGAGTCTTGCATTGTCACCCGGGCTGGAGTGCAATGGCATGATCTTGGCTCACTGCAACCTCTGCCTCCCGGATTCAAGCAATTCTGCCTCAGCCTCCCGAGTAGCTGAGATTACAGGTGTCTGCCACCACTCCCAGCTAATATTTTGTATTTTTAGTAGAGATGGAGTTTCTCCATGTTGGCCAGGTTAGTCTCAACTTTGTGATCCAGCCACCTCAGCGTCCCAAACTGCTGGGATTACAGGCATGAGCACACCTGCCTTTTTTTTTTTTGAGATATGGTCTCGGTCTCCTGCCCAGGCTGGAGTACAGTGGTACAATTTCAGCTTACTGCAACCTCTGCCTCCCGAGTTCGAGCAATTCTCCTGAGTCAGCCTCCCGAGTAGCTAGGACTACAGGCACATACCACTAAGCCTGGCTAATTTTTGTATTTTTAGTAGAGATAGGGTTTCATCACGTTGGTCAGGCTGGTCTCGAACTCCTGAGCTCAGGTGATCCACCTGCCTTGGCCTCCCAAAGTGCTGGGATTACAGGCATGAGCCACCACACCCAGCCTTATCATTCGACCTAGGCCAGATCCTGGGGATTCCTGGGTAAAGATGGGATTGCTGTGAACCCCAGCTCTCTCTGCTGCTGGAGGGGGGGAATCTCTGGCCACCTCCCTCTCTCCCTCTGCAGCCATCTGTGACCGTGGATGCCACAACAGGGGTCGCTGCATTGGCCCCAACCACTGTGCCTGTGTGTACGGCTTCATGGGACCTCAGTGTGAAAGAGGTACCAAGCACATGTGGGTGGAGGGCAGACAGGGGACTGTACGGAGGGAAGAAGGTTTCCTGGAAGGCCCTGAAACGTGGCCAGGCCTTGAGAGGGCCCAGCTGGCCTCCTTCTTGCAGCTGGGGCAGTGTGAGGACATTTCTTTCATTTGCTCATCTTTCTGCAAAACATCTGTTATTCACTGGCTCTGATCGTGGGCCTGTGTTGGAGTCTGGTAGGAAAGACAGAAGATGTGCCGGTCTGATTGGCAGGGAGAAGAAACTGCAAGCAGAAGATTCTCATCTGGGGCCATCAAGGTTAAGACAAGGGTTGGGGCAGCCCAGGAGCATGTGAAGGACAGAGAAACCATCTGCTCCATGCAAGGGAGTCAGGGAGGGCTTCCTGGAGGAGGAGACCCCTCAGCTGGATATAATAGGGTGGATTGGACCTCATGAGATGGGCACACCCCCTCTTTATTGCACACTGACTTTTTTTTTTTTGAGATGGAATTTTGCTCTGTCACCCAGACTGGAGAGTAGTGGCGCGATTTTGGCTCACCACAACTTCTGCCTCCCAGGTTCAAGAGATTCTCCTGCCTTAGTCTCCCAAGTAGCTGGGATTACAGGCGTGCCTCGCCGAGCCCAGTTAATTTTTGTATTTTTAGTAGAGACATGTTGGCCAGGCTGGTCTTGAACTCCTGGCCTCAAGTGATCTGTCCACCCCGGCCTCCCAAAATGCTGGGATTACAGGCGTGAGCCCCTGCGCCTGTCAACCTAACTCGTAAACTTGATCCTATTTTAAGAGGGCTAAGATGGGTGGGATCGCCTGCTGAGAGGTTGTTACCAGAATTAAGAGGGTGGATGTATCAGTAGTTTGAGACCAGCCTGGGCAACATAGTGAGACGCCATCGCTACAAAAAGTGAAAAATTAGCCAGGCGTGGTGGTGTACACCTGTAGTCTCAGGCTGAAGTGGGAGGACTGCATGAGCCCAGAAGTTCAAGGCTGCAGTGAGCCATGGTAGAGCCACTGCATTTCAGCCTGGGCGACAGAACCACACCCTATCGCTCTTAAAAAGAAAAGAAGAAGAACAAGAAGACAGAAGAGGCCAGGCATGGTGGCTCATGCCTGTAATCTCACCATTTTGGGAAGCAGATCACTTGAGGCCAGGAGTTTGAGATTAGCCATGACCAACATGGCAAAAGCCGTCTCTACTAAAAATACCAAAGAAAAAGGCTGGGCGCGGTGGCTCATGCCTGTAATCCCAGCACTTTGGGAAGCAGAGGCAGGTGAATCACAAGGTCAGGAGATTGAGACCATACTGGCTAACATGATAAAACCCCGTCTCTACTAAAAATGCTGGCACACGCCTGTAGTCCCAGCTACTTGAGAGGCTGATGCAGGAGAATCGGTTGAACTTGGGAGGCGGAGATTCCAGTGAGCTGAGATTGTGCCACTGCACTCCAGCTTCGGCGACAGAGCTAGACTCCATCTTGGGGAGAAAAAAAAAAAAGGCCACAAAAATAAATCTAGCTGGACATGGTAGTGCGTGCCTAGAGTCCCGTAGTCCCAGGCACAAAAATTGTTTGAATCCAAGGAGGCAGAGGTTGCAGTGAGCCAAGATCGTGCCACTGTACTCCAGCCTGGAAGACAGAGCAAGACCCTGTCTCAAAAAAATAAATAAATAAAGGAAAAAAGGAGAGTGGAGAGTGGACACAGTGATGTCTTTGTGAGCAGTGAGGTGTGGCAGGGGCAGGGAGAGAAGAGGCAAGGAGTCAAGATGAACCCCAGGCTTGATTTGAAAGCTGGGGGCAGGGGAGGTAGTAGCACACCCTGGCAGGGAGGAGGAAGACTCTGAGCTCAGTGTTGGTTGAGGGTCCACAGCTGGACACTCAGGCCTGGGGTGGAGACAGCGGTGGGGGGGCTGCTCTGTCCGTGGGGACTGAAGCCCAGGGCGCAGCGGAGGATCCCCAGGAGAGAAGGAAGGGCCAGAAGAGATGGCCACCTGGGCATTTAAACACGAACAGAAAAAACAGAGCCCACGGGAGGCTGAGAAAGAGAAAGAGGAGTGGATAGCGTCAGGGAAGTCCAGGCTTGTGAGAGTTTCCATTGCAGGAGGCATCCGAGTGCCTGCTGTGGTGTTTTGTCCCAGGAAGGCGAGGATGGGCGGGACCCGGGGAATGGAAGCTGGAGGGGCTGGGGAAATGACCCGGGTTCGAGGGTGGGCTTTTGGAAACTGTGGAATTGGAATATGGGCTGTTGGAGGCAGGCCAAGCTCTGGGTGGCAGAGGAAGAGTGAAGGGGAGGGGAAGAGGGAGGGGGGAGGTTCCAGGCATTGGGTTTTGTCTTGGGGCATCAGGACAGCCGGGGGGTGAGGGGGTGGGGATGGGGGGGGTCTCTGTGAAGCCCCTCCTCCTTATGGGGCCTGGGTTGGGAGTGACTCTGGCTTCTTCTCTTGGGAGGGGCTGCCCTTGTTTGAGAGCTAACTCCTTTATCGGAAACATCTGGAGAAGAGAGACAAAAAGTCACATCTGGGCTCATGTACTGGGGCTGGGGGAACCAATGCAGTCATCTTGGGCTGGCCTGGTGGGGATTGGGGATGTGATGTTGGGGGTCCAGAGAATCTGGGCAGCTAATAGATCCCTCCTCAAATCTGGGCGATATGGCAGGGCCAGGCGTGTGTGCAAGGACTAGACATACTTTGTAGCTGGGCATCCACGAGTCTCTGCCTAGGCCTGAAGGGAGGACGGGCCTGGGGAAGGATTCCCATCAGTTTAGACAGGGTGTTCAGACAGACCCTGAGCTGTATGGGCTTGGAAGTCCTGGTCTCTCTTGGAAGTTGGTCAGGAAATGCTTTGAAGAAAAAGAGTTTTGAAGGGTGAATAGGAGTTCCTTAGGTAGGGAAAGGGGAGGAAAGTCATTCTATTCAGGAAGGGGAACAGCATAAGTAAAGCCTGGTGTGGGTGCCGGGAGGCTGAGAAGGTGTTAGCCCTCAGCCAGGTGCCCACATCTGTCTGCCCTGCAGATTATCGGATGGGACCCTGCTTTGGCCGAGTGGGCCCCGAGGGGTGTCAGCATCAGCTGACGAGCCTCGTGTGCACCAAGGCACTTTGCTGTGCCACTGTGGGCCGTGCCTGGGGCCTTCCATGTGAACTTTGCCCTGCACAGCCACACCCCTGCCGCCGCGGCTTCATCCCCAATATCCACACAGGGGCCTGCCAAGGTGAGTAGTGGGGGTCAAGGCTGAGTGGGAGCCCTTGGCCACCTTGGTTCTTCCCTCTGAGGGGCCTCTCACTCCCTTGCTGGGCTTTGTCCTTGTAGATGTGGATGAGTGCCAGGCTGTGCCAGGCCTGTGCCAGGGAGGCAGCTGCATGAACACGGTGGGCTCCTTCCATTGCCGCTGTCCCGCTGGACACCGGCTCAGTGACAGCAGCGCTGCATGTGAAGGTGGGTGACCGCAGGGGGACGACCTGGGACCTCACCTGTGATTCATGTCCTGGACAGCTCAACCTCCCCTGCAGGAGGGCAGAGGGGTCAGGCTAGTGAGGTGCCCAGCTCTGAACTCATCCCTGTCTATGTAGATGTGAATGAGTGTCTCAGCGTGCCAGGCCTCTACTCTGGGGGTGACTGCACCAACACTGTTGGGAACTACGTGTGCACCTGTCCTTGGGGTTTTGCCAGCAGCCTGGATGGCACCCACTGCCTGGGTGAACCGGGGCCCGAGGGGCTGGAGGGGGAGAGGGCGGGTAGGAGAGAGACTCCTTGTTCAATTCTGTCTCTCTCTCTCTCTCTCTCTCTCTCTCTCTCTCTCTTTCTATTTATTTATTTATTTTTTGAGACAGAGTCTTGCCCTGTTACCCAGGCTGGAGTACAGTGGTGTGATCTCAGTTCACTGCAACATCCACCTCCTGGGTTCAAGAGATCCTCCTGCCTCAGCCTCCTGAGTAGCTGGGATTACAGGCATGCACCACCCACCACATTTGGCTAATTTTTCTGTTTTTAGTAGAGACTGGGTTTCTCCATGTTGGCCAGGCTGGTCTTGAACTCTTGACTGCAAGTGATCCACCCTCCTCGGCCTCCCAGAGTGCTGAGATTATAGGCGTGAGCCACCTCACCTGGCCCCACTCTCATTTTTAAGATGGGGAAACTGAAGCCCAGAAAGGAGAGGTTTGCTTGAGTCCAGTCAACGAATCCGGAACACACTCAACTCCGCAGATTCCCTGCCAGGGTGGCAGTTCCTTGGGCTGTCCCTCCCCTTGGAGGCGCACCCTTTAGCAACCCCTCTACATTTGGCCTGGCCAAGGGGAAATCCACCCTTAGAGCTCTCACTCCTTCTTTTGCTTTTTTTTTTTGAGACAGAGTCTTGCTCTGTCTCCCAGGCTGGAGTGCAGTGGCGCGATCTCGGCTCACGGCAACCTCCGCCTCCCAGGTTCAAGCGATTCTTCTGCCTCGGCCTCCTGAGTAGCTGGGACTACAGACATGTGCCACCACACCCGACTAATTTTTTGTATTTTAGTAGAGACAGGGTTTTACCGTGTTAGCCAGGATGGCTAACCTGTCTCTATTATACCCCGTCTCTACTAAAATACAAAAAATTAATCTCCTGACCTCATGATCCGCCCACCTCAGCCTCCCAAAGTGCTGGGATTACAGGCATGAGCCACCTTGCCTGGCCTTCTTTTGCTGTCTTGATGAGCTGGGCATCAGGCCCTAGAAGCTGCCTGTAATCAACAGGACTGGCCAGGAACCTGAACGATGGTGTTGGAGGATGGGCAGCATCCTGGTTTGGGGAGACAGGAGGAGGCTTGGAGGTCCTCCAGCGTCACCCCAGGCCCTCAGGCTAGGCCACTACCTGGCAGGACTGAGAATATTGTGTTTGGAGTTCAGCCAGTATGCTGTGGCCAACTCCAGGCTTTCTAGGTGTCCACCATGGGGGGCTGTCATAGCCGGCGTTAGGGGTACCTCTGGACACATCCCCTGGACTGTGGGGGCTTCTCTCAGCTGCTAAAGAGCAGACCCTGGATTTGAAAAACCAGCCTCTTGGGCGGGCTTGGTGGCTCACGCCTATAATCCCAGCACTTTGGAAGGCTGAGGTGAGTGGATCACAAGTCACAAGGTCAAAAGATCGAGACCATCCTCGTCAACATGGTGAAACCCTGTCTCTGCTAAAAATACAAAAATTAGCTGACAGTGGTGGCGTGTGCCTGTAATCCCAGCTACTCAGGAGGCTGAGGCAGGAGGCTTGAACCCAGAAGGCAGAGGTGAAGTGAGCCGAGCTGGCGCCACTGCATTGCGCTTCAGCCTCCTGGCCACAGAGCAAGTCTCTGTCTCAAAAATAAATAAATAAATAAATAAATAAATAAGAAAATCCAGCCTCTGAACATAGTCTTTGGAATCAGTCTGGGGTTCCCACCCAGAGCTGCTCGCAGACCCTGTGACCTTGGGCAAGTGACAACCTGTCTGTGCCTCAGTTTTCCCATCTATAAAATAGTAGCTAGTAGCAGTATCTAGCTCAGTGAAGATTGAGTAAGATATAATTTGGGGAGTAATTTGCATTAAGTATTAAGTAATTGCGTTAAGTAATTTGCATTAAGTATTACGAGAATACTTAGGACACATACATTCACCGACACCAGGTGAGGTGGAGGCTGTGACCACTTAACTCACAGTGTAAACTTACAGTAATCACAGGATCATTTCTGTTAACATTCTTTTATTTTCTTGTTTTGAGACGGAGTCTCGCTCTGTCCCCCAGGCTGGATCTTGGCTCATTGTAACCACTGTCTCCCTGGTTCAAGTGATTCTCCTGCCTCAGTCTCCTGAGTAGCTGGGATTACAGGTGCCCACCACCAGCACGCCTAGCTAATTTTTGTATTTTTAGTAAAGATGGGGTTTCACTGTGTTGGCCAGGCTGGTCTTGAATTCCTGACCTCAGGCCTCAGCCTCCCAGAGTGCTGGGATTACAGGCATGAGCCACTGCACCCAACCATTTTTGTTAAAATTTTTGTATTCTGGCCGGGCGCGGTGGTTCACGCCTGTAATCCCAGCACTTTGGGAGGCCAAGGCGGGTGGATCATGAGGTTAAGAGATCAAGACCATCCTGGTCAACATGGTGAAACCCCGTCTCTACTAAAAATACAAAAATTAGTTGGGCATGGTGGTGCGTGCCTGTAATCCCAGCTACTTAGGAGGCTGAGGCAGGAGAATTGCCCGAACCCAGGAGGTGGAGGTTGCAGTGAGCCAGGATCGCGCCATTGCACTCCAGCCTGGGTAACAAGAGCGAAACTCCATCTCAAAAAAAAAAAAATTTTTTTTATATTCTATCTTTCTTGCTTGAGGGGGTGTTGCCTGTTGGATTCCCTGAGATTGGGAAATTGGGTTTCCCGTCCTCCTCCTGCTTTTGCAGCTGTGTAACTTTGGAGGAGTCTGTCGACCTCACCTTGTCTAGGCAGGCCCAGCCCCCTTTGTGGGGCTATGATGGGACTGAGAATGAAAAACCCTGACTCCCACACAGGTACCTGGGAGCCCCCAGGTGCACAGGGCAGGGACCAGGGAGGTGGAAACATTTGCATTTTTTCCCAGCTTGGGGCAGGTCAGGGGCGGCTGTCAGTGGCCCTCCCAGCTGCTGGGAGGAGCTTTTTAAACTGTAGGCCACCTGCCAAGCTTTGTGTGTTTTTAAGCCTAAAAATATTCTCTTTAAGCCAGAGCCTGAGAAATCCAGTCGCTGCCTAAAGCCATTGACCTTGAGGTGTCAGTGGGAAGTGGAAGAGTGTTGGTGGTTCACATACCTCGGGAGCCTCTCTGCCTCAGCCTCCCTAGGGCAGTGGCCGTCAATCCACTCCTCTACTCCTTGGGGCCCCTTTCTGAAATTCACAGTCTCGTAGGCTTCCCTGTAATGCCTACAGCCAGCAAGCAAAGACACACAGCTGTAGATCTTGGTGTCCCTGCCTGGTCACCCACGGGGGCAGTCCTTCCCTGCCAGTGGGTCTTCCTCAGTGCAGTTGGATGCCTGCAGCAATGGGGAGCTCACTACCTCTGTGTGATAATTTGGAAATTTTGGTAATAAGAGATGGCACTGAGCGGGCATTGGCCACATGTCAAATTTTTATTTATTTATTTATTTATTTATTTATTTATTTATTTATTGAGACAGAGTCTTGTTCTGTCTCCCATGCTGGAGTGCAGTGGTGAGATCTCGGCTCACTGCAACCTCCACCTCCAGGTTGAAGCAATTCTTCTGCCTCAGCCTCCCAAGTAGCTTGAATTACAGGTGCTAGCCACTACTCCTGGCTAAGTTTTGTGTTTTTAGTAGAGATGGCATTTTGCTATGTTGGCCAGGCTGCTCTTGAACTCCTGACCTCAAGTGATCCACCTGCCTCGGCTTCCCAAAGTGCTGTGTTTACAGGTGTGAGCCACTGCATCTGGACTATGTCAGACTTTTCTTCCAGGTAATACTTTTCCCAGGTGAGACGGATGCTCCAAGAATCCCCATTTTATGGAGGGGAAACTGAGGCACAGACAAACAGACCCGTCCTACAGACGGTGCTGCTACAGCTGGTTTTTGGATCCAGGTCTGGCCACCAATGTCCTGTGCTCATGGGCGCACTCTGATCTTTTGCAGACCAGCGGGTCGGCACCTGCTTCTCCGTGCTTTTTGGGGGCCGCTGTGCCGGAGATCTCACCGGCTACTACACTCACAGGCAGTGTTGCTGCGACAAGGGCAGGTGCTGGGTGGCTGGCCCAACCCCTGAGCTGTGTCCTCCTCAGGGTTCCAGTAAGTAAGAGCTGCAGCCTGCAGGGCTGGGCGCGGGGAGGAGGGGACAGGGCAGGACCTAGGGCCTGGCCTTAACCCTGGTTCCTTGCAGATGAGTTCCAGCAACTGTGCACCCCAGCGCTGCCGCTGCTACCTGGCCACCCTGGCCTCTTCCCTGGCCTCCTGGGTTTCAGATCCAATGGCATGGGTCCCGCCCTTGGGCCAGCGCGACTCAACCCTCATGGCTCCAATGGGCGTGGGGTCCCCAGCCTGGGCCCTGGCAACTCTAATATTGGTGAGGCCTGGGGCTTGAGAGGAAAGTTCCAAAACTTGAAGGGTGGACTTGGATCTGGGGAGAGAGCTCTGAATAGGGGAGGGTGTCCAGGCCTCAGAGAGAGGATCAGGGCTTTAGAGGGGGTGCTCCTGGCCCGGCTAGCAGGAATGAAAGTGCCCATAGTGGATGAGGATGGAGGTAACTGGAGAATCTGGTCCTCAGAGTTAGGGTCTGAACCAGACACAGCGGCTCATGCCTGTAATCCCAGTACTTTGGGAGGCCGAGGTGGAAGGATGGCTTGAGGCCAGGAGTTTGAGACTAGCCTGGGCAACATAGCAAGACCCTGTCTCTACAGCAAATTTAAAATTAACTAGGTGTGGTAATGCGCACCAGTAGTCCCCGCTACTCAGGAGGATGAGGCAGGAGGATTGCTGGAGCCCAGGAGTTGGAGGCTGCAGTGAGCTGTGATTGTGCCACTGCTCTCCAACCTGGGTGACAGAGTGAGACCTTGTCTCTAAAAATAAAAATAAGTCAGGGTTTGGGCTTTGGGTGGGGAGTTTGGGCCTGATGTGGGGGTCTGAGATGGAGGATTTAGGCCTGGGGTGGGTTCTTGCCCCACAGTGAGGATTTGGGCACAGAGTGGGAGTCCACAGGCATCTCTGGGCCCAGGTTGGAGGGATCCAGGCCCAAGTTGGAGTTCTGAATCTAAGGCAGGACTCTCCAGGGTATAGGGGGCAGGATCTAAGCCAGGGCAGGGTCCCAGGCTCAGAGGGGGCATCTGGGTTCCAGACTGGGGAGGGACCATCAGCTGCTCAGATGCCTCTGCGGGCCCCACCAGCAGGCACTGCTACCCTGAACCAGACCACTGATATCTGCCGACACTTCACCAATCTGTGTCTGAATGGCCGCTGCCTGCCCACGCCTTCCAGCTACCGCTGCGAGTGTAACGTGGGTTACATCCAGGACGTGCGTGGCGAGTGCATAGGTGAGCCCACGCCAGGTGAAAGGGGTGGGTTCTCACTGCCCTGCTGGGGCTGGGGCTCAGGGTCCTCTCCCCTCAGATGTAGACGAATGCACCAGCAGCCCCTGCCACCACGGTGACTGCGTCAACATCCCTGGCACCTACCACTGCCGGTGCCACCCGGGCTTCCAGGCCACACTCACCAGGCAGGCATGCGTGGGTATGGCCATCCGTCCGAGAGTGGAGGTGATGGTGGGGGGTCTGGCCCAGGCTTGGAAGGTGGGGGGCACCTCCTGATGGCCCACCTCCCTTCCCCGCAGATGTGGATGAGTGCATTGTCAGTGGTGGCCTTTGTCACCTGGGCCGCTGTGTCAACACGGAGGGCAGCTTCCAGTGTGTCTGCAACGCAGGCTTTGAGCTCAGCCCTGATGGCAAGAACTGTGTGGATGAGTTGAGGATGGGAGGATAGGCAGGGGCTTCTGGGCCCCATTGCTGCCTTTTTCAGCCACCTCAAATCTTCACTATCCTGGTCAGGTGCGGTGGCTCACGCCTGTAATCCCAGCACTTTGGGAGGCCAAGGCGGGTGGATCATCAGAGGTCAGGAGTTTGAGACCAGCCTGGTCAACATGGTGAAACCCTGTCTTTACTCAAAATACGAAAATTAGCTGGGCATGGTGGTACGCACCTATAATCCCAGCTACTTGGGAGGCTGAGGCAGGAGAATTACTTGAACCTGGGAGGAGGTGGAGGTTGCAGTGAGTCAAGATTGCACCACTGCACTCCAGCCTGGGAGACAGAGCAAAACTGTCTCAGAAAAACAAACAAAAAACCTTCACTCTGCCCCAAAACCCACCTCCATTTTTACTATGTCTCCTCTGCTCACCTCTGAACTCAGCAGTCCACCTTAGACCCTTCTTATCTCCTGACCACCCTGATTCCCCTTTTCATTTCTTCCTTCCTGAATTTATTCTGTGAATTGCAAGGAAGAACCTTTTGGGGTCAGCCTTGGTGGGTCATGCCTGTGATCCCAACACTTTGCAAAGCTGAGGCAGGAGAATCTCTTGAGCCAAAAAGGTCGAGGCTGCAGTGAACTGTAATCATGCCCCTGTACTCCAGCCTGGCTGTTTAGAGCAAGATATCATCTCCTAATAAAAAAAAAAAAAAGAAGAAAAAGAAGAAGAAGAAGGCTGGGTGTGGTGGCTCACACCTGTAATCCCAGCACTTTGGGAGGCCACGACAGGTGGATCACCTGAGGTCATGAGTTTGAAACCAGCCTGACCAACATGGTGACACCCCATCTCTACTAAATACAAAAAATTAGCCAGGCGTGGTGGCAAACACCTGGAATCTCAGCTACTCATGAGGCTGAGGCAGGAGAATCACTTGAACCCAGGAGGCGGAGGTTGCAGTGAGCTGAGATCATGCCATGGCACTCCAGCCTGGGCAACAAGAGTGAAATAGTCTCAACAAAAAAAAGAAAAGAAGGCCGGGCACGGTGGCTCAAGCCTGTAATCCCAGCACTTTGGGAGGTCGAGGCGGGTGGATCACGAGGTCAACAGATCGAGACCATCTTGGTCAACATGGTGAAACCCCGTCTCTACTAAAATTACAAAAAAATTAGCTGGGCACGGTGGTGCGTGCCTGTAATCCCAGCTGCTCGGGAGGCTGAGGCAGGAGAATTGCCTGAACCCAGGAGGCGGAGATTGCGGTGAGCCGAGATCGCGCCATTGCACTCCAGCCTGGGTAACAAGAGCGAAACTCCGTCTCAAAAAAAAAAAAAAAAAAAAAAGAAAAGAAAAAGAAAGGGTCTTTTGGGCAAGACCACACTGGCAATGCCTGACCCTGGCCTGAAGCAGGGTCCCTCCATGTCCTAGGATGGCTTGGAACAGCCTGGCCAATGTTTATATATATATATATATATATATATATATATATATATATATATATGGCGGTGGGGGGGGGGACAGACGGTTGAGATCAGTACCTTGGAGAGCACCCCATCAGCTTGCTCTGGGGTACAGTTGGGTTATGGCTTGTGGGGGCCAGAGGGGACTTGGCTCCCACAACCTATAACCAAAAGGGACCCCTTGACTCTGTCACCTTATCTCAGGAGATCCACCTTCAAGTCTTCCCTCGGGTGGAAGGATCTTATCCTTTCTGCATTCCTTCATTTAAAAAGACATTTTTGGCATTTTTTGATATATAATTCATATAGCATAAAATTAGCCATTTGAAGTGTACTAGTCAGTGGTTTTTAGTATATGCACAGAGGTGGACAATTATCACTACAGCCCAACTTAAAAACACCCTTCTCCCCTCGGAAACAAACCTGATATTCATTAGTAGTCACTCCGCAAATTCTCTGTTCTCGCCTACAGCCCTGGGCACTAGGCAAATTGTTTTTCTGACTCAGTAAATTTGCCCATTTTGGATAAAAGGGAATCGTGGCTTTTTGTGACTGTCTTGTTTTGCTGAATATGATGTTTTCAAGGTCCATGATATTGTAGTGTGTATTGGTGCTTCATTTTTAAAAAAAAATTTAATACATTTTTATGCCAGGTATGGTAGTTCATGCTTATAATCCCAACACATTGGGAGGCTGAAGTGGGAGGATCACTTGAGGTCAGGTGTTCAAAACCAGCCTGGCTAGCATGTGTGAAACTGTTACTACTAAAAATACAAAAATTAGCCAGGTATGATGGCGCATGCCTGTAATCCCAGCTACTTGGGAGGCTGAGGTAGAATTGCTTGAACCCTGGAGATGGAGGCTGCAATGAGCCAAGATCACATCACTGCACTCCAGTATGGGAGACAGAGCAAGACTCAGTCTCAAAACAAAAAAAGAAATTTATGCCAGGCTTGGGGGCTCATACCTGTAATCCCAGCACTTTGTAAGGCTGAGGCAGGAGGGTTGCTTGAGGCCAGGAGTTCAAGACCAGCCTGAACAATATAGCAAGATCCTGTCTCTACAGAAAGCCCAAAAATTACCTGGCATGTTGGTGTGTGCCAGCTACTTGGGAGGCTGAGGCAGGAGGATCACTTGAGCCCAGGAGTTTGGGTCTTCAGTGAGCTGTGTTTGCATCGCTGGACTCCAGCCTGGGTGTCAGAGCTAGACCTTGTCTCAAATATATATATATATAAATTTTATTTATTTATTTTTGAGACTGAGTTTTGCTCTGTCACCCAGGCTGGAGTGCAATGGTGTGATCTTGGCTCACTGCAACCTCTGCCTCCCAGGTTCCAGCGATTCTTCTGCCTCAGCCTCCCTAGTAGCTGGGATTACAGGCACATGCCACCACGTCTGGTTATTTTTTGTATTTTTAGTAGAGACGGGGTTTCACCATGTTGACCAGGCTGGTCTCAAACCCCTGACCTCAGGTGATCCGCCTGCCTCGGCCTCCCCAAGTGCTGGGATTACAGGTGTGAGCCACCTCGCCCAGCCATGTATTTGTTTTTTTGAGATTGGGTCTCACTGTGTTGCCTAGGCTGGACTTGAACTCCTGGGCTCGAGCAATCCCCCCGCGTCAGCCACTTGAGTAGCTGGGACTACAGGCAGAAGCCAGCGTGCCTGGCCTCTTCATTCTTTCTAATGGCTGAATGAAGTTCCCTTGCATGAATAGACCACAGCGTGTTGATTCATTCATCAGTGGATGGACACTGGTTTGTTTTCACTTTCTGGTGTTAGGAATAATGCTTCTGTGAATGTTCATGTGCAAACTTTTGTGGTGGCACTTCATGCATTTATTTTCTTAATGTACGTGCTGTCCTTTATTGTTGAAAACTGACATTTTGGAAAGCAACTCATTTCTGCACTTGCCACCTTCCATGAAATTAGACCATGTTCTTACTAACTTTTTTTCCCCTTTCCTTTTTATAAAATTGAAGTGAGACTCACACAACCTAAATTTAATCATTTAAAGGTGAACAGGAGGTTGGGCGAGGTGGCTCACATCTGTAATCCCAGCACTTTGGGAGGCCGAGGCAGGCGGATCACAAGGTCAGGAGTTCAAGACCAGCCTGGCCAACATAGTGAAACCTCGTCTCTACTAAAAATACAAAAACAATTAACCAGGCATGGTGGTGCATGCCTGTAACCCTACTCGGGAGGCTGAAGCAAGAGAATTGCTTGAATCCTGGAGGCAGAGGTTGCAGTGAGCTGAGATCACATCATTGTGCTCTAGCCTGGGCGACAAGAGTGAGACTTGGTCTTAAAAAAAAATGTTGTATTTAAAAAAATGTTTAAACATTTAAAAATGAACAATTCACTGATATTTAATAAATTTCCAATGTGCCACTACCACCACTTTTATTCAGCTTTGAGCAAATATTTATGCAGCACCTACTGTATGCAGTCCAAGCAAGATAGGGGCCAGGTCCCAGGGAACTCACATCCCATCAGACAGACTAATATACAAGCAAACACAGTCACAGACAACCATGGCTTGTTTGCCTCTCACACCTCAAGGAGGGATCCTGGGGAGCTCAGCCCTGCAGCCTGAAGAAGGGAGAGAGAGGGTCCCAGTGTGCGGTGGGCACCTGGCCCCCTGTCTGGACCCAGTCTCTCCTACTGTTCCCAGATCACAACGAGTGTGCCACTAGCACCATGTGCACCAACGGTGTATGTCTCAACGAGGATGGCAGCTTCTCCTGCCTCTGCAAACCTGGCTTCCTGCTGGCTCCTGACAGCCACTACTGCATGGGTGAGGCTCGAGCCAGACTGGCCAGTAGAGGGGAGAAGGGAGATGGGGAAGCAGAGGGAGGGGGAGGAAGTGTAGAGGGATCGAAAAGGGATGGGACGGGCATGAGAGAAGGAGAAGAGAAGGGATCGGAAGAGAAAGAGGAGGAGGGGGAAAAAGAAAAGAAGTGAAGAACAAGAAAAGGAAGAAAAGAAGAGGCAGGTGCCATGGCTCATGCCTGTAATCCCAGCACTTTGGGAGGCCGAGGTGGGTGGATCACTTGAGGTTAGGAGTTCAAGGCTGGCTGGCCAACACAGTGAAACCCATCTCCACTAAAAATACCAAAATTAGTTGGTGTTGTGGTGCTCACCTTTAATCCCAGCTACTTGGGAGGCCGAGGCAGGAGAATCACTTGATCCTGGGAGCTGGAGATTACAGTGAGCTCAGATCATGCCATTGCACTCCAGCCTTGGTGACAAGAGTGAGACTCTGTCTCCAAAAAAAAAAGGAGATGGATTATAAGGTGGGGAGGGGCCAGGTGCATCTGTGATCCCAGCACTCCTGAGATGGGAGGATCACTTGAGGCCAGGAGTTCGAGACCAGCCTGGGCAACATAGCCAGACCCCATCTCTACCTGAAAAAAAAAATTAGCTGGGTATGGTAGCATGCACCTGTAATCCCAGTACTTTGGAAGGCTGAGACAGAAGGACCACTTGAGCTCAGAAGTTTGAGACCAGCCTGGGCAACACAGCAAGACTTCATCTCTACCAAAAAAAATAAATTAGCCGAACATGGATATTCACTCCCTGCTACTCGGGAGGCTGAGGCAGCAGGATCACTTGAGCCTAGAAGTTGGAGGCTGAAATGAGCTATGATCACGCCACTGCACTCCAGTCCCAGAGGCAGACCCTGCCTTTAAGAAAATTGTTTAAAGGTGGAGAGAGAGAAAGAAAGATGGGGAGAAATGGAGGAGGAGGTGAGGAGGCATACAAGAGGAGGAGATGACAGAGACACAGACAACTGAAAACTGGAAAGGAAAGAAACAATGGCTGGGAAAATGGAAAGGGTGGGA